CCCAAAACCTAAAATAGCAGCTCACAACCATCAAGCTCCTGGGAGGCCAACATTCACTGCAAATGCTTGAATATGAAAAGAAATGTATACAAAGAACAGAAATGATGGCCAGAACTTGAAAAATTCACTACAGCTAATCAGCCCTGAATTATTTACATAAAACATATGGACTTTATGTGTGTGCACTGAGCTCTTATTACACTTTAACTGAGAGGGGCAAAATTATAGATGAAGTTTCTGCCCTGTCTGGTCCTGCATCCATTCAGTCCCCAAGAAACACACAGAGACTTATGTTAATTATAAAGTGTTTGGCCTATTGCTAAGGTTTATTACTAACTAGATCTTATGACATAAATTTACCCATAATTACTGTCTATGTTTTAGCCACATGTCTTGGTACCTTTTCTCAGTAAGGCATTCTCATTTTGCTTCCTCTGTATCTGACTTGTGACTGACTTGGCCTTTCTTCTTTCCAGAATTCTCCTAGTCTGGTTGCCCCATTTATACTTCCTGCCTGGTTACTGGCCAATCAACATTTTATTAAGTCAATAAGAGTGACAAATATTTACAGTGTAGAAACGCATTATCCCACAGCATTTCCTTTCTTTCCTTTCAAAACAAGACCCTGAATCTAATCTTCTTTGTTTAGCAATTTTCCTGACCATTACCCATAACAATCTGTAACCAACACACTAAACAACGACAAACATCCATAATCCATTTTTGGGGAATATGGGCATAGTTTTCTAGGCTATTTCTTGCTGATTGGGATTACTAATATTCTTATGGGGACTCAGAGAAAATTTAGGATTATGGTCAAATCCTGACTCGAGTATTCTGTGAGACTGAATTAGCTCAAGCAGCAGTCTTACAGCTGTTCTGAATGTAGAACTCAGAGGAAACTACAACAGAGGTATTCTGAAATATTGGATCATCTGCGCCATCTGTTCCTACCAGAGATTTTTTAGGGTGGTGTTTGCTGATCAAACCTTATTTTTCTTAACACAGAATGAATCCACAGTATCTCGTTTCCTGTGGAAACAAAAAGTAAAACTTCTTCTCCAAAGTAACATATCTTTGACTTAAATTTTGAAGTCAAGGTATTTTCAAAATATATAGGTTGGATTAATCCAGCAGCATTTAAAATCGAATGTGTTTTAGGACCTGTTTCTCCTTCCTCAGTAGTCAAACAATTCAAAACAGCATAATAACATACAATATCCAGATTCTCTGTGTATTTTCCATCTTTATGTGACTTTTGTTTGTTTGTTTTTACTTTATTTCTTTTATTTTTATTTTTTTAACTTTTTTTTGAGACAGAGTTTCTCTGTGTATCTTTGGCTATCCTGGAACTCACTCTGTAGACCAGGAAGGCCTAAAACTCACAGATATCTGCCTGCATCTGTCTCTGCCTCCCAAGTACTAGAAAAAAAGGTGTGTGCCGCCACACATGACTACTATTTCTTGTTTAAGTTCTTTATTTTTTTTCTTTTCTCTCCTAAGCCTACATATATTTCTAAACACATTATAAACCATTTAAAGGGGTGGATTTTTTTGCCTAAATCTGTCTTTACTATATAACTCCATCTTTTTCTGACCACATCAGTCTTTAATCTGCTAAACCATATGGCTAGGATTACAGCTGTGGCTTTGGCAGCTGAATCCACTCCATTCCTTAGCTTTTTGAGAGTCTAACTTCATGGCAGAGGTACTAGAAGGAGCCATGTTTATTGCTACAACTCTGTGGAGTTTCCAGGTCCACGCCACCACCAAGAAGCCTACTGCTGGCTACTCATAATTACTATTTAAGTGTTTGGTTACAGAGCTTCTTAAAGATCTGCAAGGTTTTTGCTGCTAATGCTGAGTCAGAAAGCCTCTCTTAAAGGAGCTGCACCTCTGTTCACCATGAGCAAACAGAGCATACTAGAGAAGAGTAGGTTACCAAGAAGCTTCTCTTCCTATAAAACACATATTGTAGTCTAGAAATCTATACACTATAGCAAATATATATAAGAGCTATCTATCTGTAGTTAACATCTAAACATAGCTCACCCTTAAACTTATTCCAACCGAAACATGAAATTTTCCTTGTAAAGACAACCTAGTGTCTTCACACCTAAAACAATTTCCTCTCAGGCTAATATCTCAAGGCAGAGATGAAATCGACTGTCAGGTTCCAATGATGCTGCCTATTCTGAGACAGAGTAGATAAAGGTAGACCAATAGGATAGGGAAAGAGGGCAGCTGTTTTCTGCTCTTCACAAGTTGATCTCAGCTATCCCTGACATTCACAGAGACATCATAAAGCGTCATTGACTGTCATAAGCTTGTGGTGCTGAGAAGTGATCTAGACCTGCTTACGACAGACTGACAGCTAGCTATAACTAGCATGGGGATTGAGTTACATCATTGAGCAGCTGCAGGGTTTTGTACTGACTTCACTTTTTTTGACTATAGAAATATGATTCCTTCTTACAGTCTCGAGTAAGAAAGTTAGAAAGCAGTTGGCTCATAGGTCATCCTCCATGACCTTTGAAACAGAAGCTTTATCTGATCACACTCTTTCATGCATTGAACAATCCCACCTTCTTCAGAAAACCGTGTCAGGACTTCTCGTTCCCCTGGGTGGTGGCACAACCTCCTACCACAATAATGTTCTGCTCAAACACCAAGGACAAAGCAAGCATGGACTGGACTCTCTGAACTCCATGTACTCTCTGAATGATTCAAAGGATTCCTCTTTTGAAATCCAATGGATTTCTGAGCCCCAAAGCTTTGTTTCTTGGAGGAAGGTGCAGAATCATGTGAAACATATATCAAACACTGATGAGAAGAAGAAACTTGAGAAATTGTTAGAGGAAGACAAATACTAAGCTTGATTCTTCTTCTTTTGAAGAGTTTCCAGGCTAATAAACTGGAAAATTTTTGCCAAGAATTACACATGGGCCCTCATGAAAGAGAATTAAGCACTCTTGCACGTTATCCCCACCCACACAGAAAATCAACTGTTCTGCATGGGACTTACCTTGGTGAGGGAATTTCCCACAGAGTGCTGGATACAGAAGCCAGAATGTAAGGTTCAAAAAATATCTGAGAAGAAAGTGAAGCAAGTAAATGTAACTTACTAGATTAACGTTTGTTGGAGAAACCACGACTTTAAAGGAGAAACGATCCAGAGAACGTGTGTGTGTGTGTGTGTGTGTGTGGCTGTTTGAAATATTCAAACAAAAAGTGTGTGTGTGTGTGTGTGGCTGTTTGAAATATTTGAAGCCTTTTAGAAAATAGCAGTCTTGAGATTATTGGTAGTTCAGGAAGCCAGTCTTTCTTGATATCTAAAATCAGCCATAATGTGTAAATGGAGGACAAAGGAAGTAAAGTCCAGTAATTTACAGTTCATAGTGTGAATGGGGAAAAGAGAAAATATAACTTCCCAAACTATGAGATACTTGTAATTCCAGCATTCAGGAGGCTGAGACAGGAGAGTTCTGACTTTGACGTCAGCCTGGCCTATGGTGTGGGGATCAGAGGAAATCCTGAGTGCATGTGTGTTGTTGACATGGGCGCAGCCTCAGACCTATGGAAGTGGCAAAGCCTTCTTGGGTCAGACTCAGCATGGACATTTCTTTGGTCCAAGTCTCTCTTTGGTCTACAAATGATTGAACAGTTTATGTGAGAACTACCAAGTGCAGCTTTATCCTCCTGGATTGTTTACAGCCCAAGAGTACTCGTCTAGAGAATCCTCCCATCAAGATTAGCCAACTCCTGTCTAACGTGCCTGAGGTTCCCCTGTGCAGAGGTAGTTAATCCCCCATCAGAGTGTACACAGCCCACCTGATACCAGCTCTTCTGTGCCTGTGTCTCTCCTTTCTTCATGTTCTTACCATTCTTAGCCAGCTTAAGGTTCCAAGCTTTGCAAGATACATCACTAGGAAAAGCCCAGCCTAAATTATAGAGAAGGTTGCTGCATCAACAAACGTAATGTTTCCCATCGTGTGTGTGTGATATCTCTGCTTTGCTCTTCTAAACTCTTCTAGGTCTTTGAAGAAGAATGCTTATGCTCATATCAAACTGGAATGACAACCGAAGCAAAAGGAACACATAACAAACTGACAAGCGTCCACTGCTCCATTCATTAAAAGAAAGGTAAATGAGTTCAAAACTGTTCTCAAATGCAATAGACTTACTGGAATTATATAGATAATGTGTGCTAAAGGAGATGCCTTCAAAATAAATATGTACACACAGAGAAAACATCCTTACCCAAAATTAATGATAGATTTTTAAAAATCTATGTGTTCAGGAGAAGCATGAGAGTGTAAATAAAGTATCAGAAATGGTAAGGTTAGGGAGAGATGATATTTGAGCTTTTTATTTTACTTTGCTAAAAATTTTCTAATGCATATAAATAAAGCATGAAAGCAGTTTAAAACTTGAGATGGTGGAAGAACAAGCTGAGGCACTGAATTACTGAAAAATATGATAAGAATTCAGGAGTGATGAAGAAGCTAAGGGTGGGCCTTCTAGACATGGGGAGGGGGCAACTGGATGGAGGCTGAGTTTATGAGGAGGTTATAGGACAGAGGGAAGGAATTCCTCCATAATGTGGGATCCTGAAAGAGTACTCTAGTTGCTTCCTAGATTCCAGGTGAAGCAGGAGATTGAGAACCAGCTCCAAAAAGAAACCGTGCAGCTAGGAAAAAGCAAGGGACATCTCCATAAAAACGATATTTGAAAATTTTTCAGTAGATGTAGGTTAAAAGGCTAATATTGTACCATATAATATGCAATTCCCAACTTACCCAAAGCAGAATGGAATCTTCCAGTCCTGGGAGCTATTTCAATCATGCTTACGTAGACACGACCAGGAAAATCAATAAACCGCGTTACCAGTATCATGAAATTTTAGCTTTATTTATTGAGTTTCATAGATGGCAGAGACATGCCTTCAACAACAGACCTGACCCTACCATAATAAAACAATATACATAAAAGTCGTGTGTCACAAAACAGAGCTAAGTAAATCACAGAATGTCCACAAAGTATAGACACAGTCTGAATCTGCTGTTTTATCATTTACCAGTGAGTTAATCTTGAGCTTTATATCAGAGGAAGCATACTACAGAGCTAAGATGGCCAAGAAGGACACAGGAGGGCCTCTGAAAGCTGGTACACTACAAATCTACCTGCAGGTAGACACAAATACTCATGAACACATTGCCTACCTCAGCGTTAGGTACCCATGACAAAGGAACACACTGAATTTGAACAATGAGCACTGGAGGACAAAGAACAGGAAGATGTAAAACTCATCAACTGATCACTTTCCACTCTTTGTGGAAGTTCAGGATATTCTTGATTTCCACGCCAGCTTCAGTTGCCATCCCCAGCACCAACTGCAATGGGTACGAGAAATTCCTAGGGCGGTCCAAACAGACACCCGTAATGATAGTCACCATGCTGCTGGGATCCAATACCCCTGGCCTGGAAGAGTCCAGCAGACTTTTGCAGAACCCAAGAATATTGTAGAGATCCCAGGCATCAGAATCTGGTCTAGTCATTCTGGGCCTCACCAACCTCTTGGACACAAAGGACTGGCAGAGAATGTACTGGTTCCTTCTCTTTAACTCATCTTCCAGGAAAGTGATGGCTGCCAGGGCTCTGCGGTCTTCCCATTTTAGGATGTACAGTGTGTCAACCACAACCTTGGGTATGATAAGAAAAAACTTAGCACTAGTGGCCAGTTTCTGTATGACTGGGAGGTGCTCGCAGAGGGCCCTGGGGTCAGGGAACAGGTAAGGGGTCAATACTGACCGAGTCTGGGGACCCCGGAGGGTCTTCTCGAGCAATGCCACCTCACGCTGAAGCCAAAGCTGGACTATGTCTTTGGAAAACCTAATTCGTGCAGCTGTTCTCGGAAGCTGCTGAAGTGGGTTTTCTGACCTTTCAAGGGTACTGCTCACAAAGACGCCCAGTTTCGAATCGAAGCTCAAGAACTGTCCTGGGAGTCTGGTTGCAAAGTGTCCAAAACTTCTGAAGAAACAGATGCGAACGATAACTTCCTCCCGGTTGGTGAGTGAAGGCAGATCCTGCCCTACGTCTGCTCTATCCTGGGACACTTGAGGAGGAACCGGCTGGAACAGGGCAATGTCTTCGGGGAGCTGAAGGTACTTGGGAGTGTGTGGCCATTGACAGCTCCGCAGTAAGTCCTGGAGATGGTGAGACAGACCAAGGCCTGGATGCTGCAGGTCCCCCACCGAGGGCAACAGGTTCAGAAGCACACAGAGGTGGCCCCATAAGCTGAGTATACTCTTCCGCTGTGTCGAGAGGAGGCTGTGATTGCTGTGCAGCCAGCTCAGGATCACCTTGATGGTGGGCAACAGTCCCTCTTCGGAGAGAATGTCCAATTTCCATTGGGTGGTCTGGAGATTGTTTTTCTGGGCAACGGAGGGCCTCTGCTCCCAAGAGGAACCCACATGGAACTCTGTGTCCGGAAAGCCGCTCATCTCGCTCTCGATGCACAAAGAACTGCTGAGAGCAGGGCTTGGCTCAGACGGAGGTGTCAGAACGTTAGGACTGAAGACGGAAGCGAAGGGCAAGCCATGTTTTCCTTGGAGTTTTTGACTCAAAGGAGCTGGCAAGCTGGAAGATAGAGTTGTTTTCAAGAGGTCAAGGAGACTGTCAGGAGGTATATACGCCTTCAGTTTGTTTCTACGGTGAGCAGCCGTAGGTTTAGATGTACCTCCACCCTTCTGAATTGTTTCTGAACTCAGGGAGCCACTTCCTTCTTCATCTGTTGCATCTGAGTGGGACGCTTCACTGCTTGAGTCCGATTGGACCTGGGAACTTAAAGATGAGGTTTCCTCTTCCTCTGTCTCATCTGAGTCACAGCCGGAAGGAAAGCCAGACTCACTCTCCCTAGAAATACCAGACCAGCCCTGACTTCTCTGAGAGTTGCTGTGCTGGAGCCCGGGAGATGGAAAATCTTGATCTTGCTTTCCAGGCTCCTCCCAGCATCCTTCACGGGAAGAAGCATCTTCTGGAGTCAGCTTCCGCCTCTGCAGCTCAGCCTGGATCCGTGTGTTCACATGCTGTACTAGATGAGAGAAAAGAGTCAGGGTGAAGATAACAGCTGGTTTGTGTTGTTTTGAGCCTGATTTCTTCAGGCTGTGCACATTCATGAGGCAAAGAACCACCATGTGGAAAATGAGAAAGTCCGGGAGAAAAAGATACCCTTTAGGAGGCTTATCGTCTATGGAAGTGTGGCACTGGACAGATTGGCGTGGCCGATAGGAAAGACAGAGACGAAAGTCTTCGAGAACCAGTTGGCACAGGGCTATCAGCCTTGCGGCTTTGAATTTCCTCTTAGGCTGCAAGAGGCTCTGAAGGTAGAGGAAGCTGACAAGAAGCCTTTTGTTGTCCCAACACTGCCTCTGGCTGTGGGACAGTTTCCTTCCCTGGTACCTCTTCAGACAGCTATACCTCTTTCCCGCATGATCATAGAGCCGTTTGAGGTTCCAAGCCGCTCCTTTAAAAGGCACTTCCGAGTGGAGGCAGCGCTGATAGAAGTATGTGGCTTCCAGGTCATAATACTTACTCCCCATGAGCGCGCCCAGTTGGTTAAAGGGCATTCCCATATGCGGGGCCACTGACAAGGCCCTATAATAGCATCTCTCAGCCAAGTTCTTGGTGGCCAGGTCTAGGAACTCATGCTGGTAGCGGAACAAGTCTCCCAGGTAAAGGAGGCAGCGATGGCAGGCCATGCGGGCCCAGGAAGCCTCTTCCGCTGATGTGGGTCCCACTTTCTTACAGCCAATCAAGTGGATGGCGCTGTGAGGCCAGTCTATGTAGCTCTGTAATCTCAGCTCGTAGTGTCCCTGAAGGAACAGGAAGAGATGCTCGTAGAACCTGAGGCCAGCCTTCAGGTGAGCCTGCAGGGGCCCGCCCCAGTGTTGGAAAGTGTCCATTTGTTTCTTGTTGGTCTTCATGAGCAGCATGATGACGTCAGAGTAGATTTTTCTCCATAAGAGCTCCTCCGCCTTCCTACCATAAGCCACCGGATGCAGGAACATGAGTTTAATGCAGGCTTGCTGAACCATCTCTCTGAGAGCCAGGATGTGAGGCTTGAACACTTCTTTGTGGGCATTTCCTTTATCAAGGAAGAAATCGAGTCGCTGAGCTGCCAGGCAGACCTCCTGGTAGAGGAGCCTGGCCTTGGGGGTTTCTTCATGGTTTCTCTCCATGAGGCTGGAGAGGGATGCTTCCTTTTGAGTGATGCTCTGGATGTTTCCTGAGAAAAGATGAAAACTATCTATTAGTACTCACCCACAAAGACTGAAAATAATGCCAAAGAGAACAATGAAATTGGAGGGGATACTTTGATTCTCTCACTTATAAAAACATTTAGTTTCCTGTTCTTTACTTAGCAACCTTGTTCATAAGTGTATTTCTTTGGAAATCATTCCCGTCAGCAGTCAAACCTACATGAATACCGGGTCCCTCCCAAATGTATCTCTCTAATGAAGGAAAGTCAGGAGTACATGCATTGAAATTAACCTACACAATCTAAGATTAAGATTGTTTATGGGATGTGCATGCATCTACAAAGAAAATCAAGTTTAGAAAAGTATCATTACATAGACTTGGAAAGATAAGGATCACTTGGGAAAAAAAAGTGGAAGACAAAATAATATGACTATATCTTCCAAATAGAATATATCACACGGGTATGTAAAAGACAAAAGATCTATAACGCTTGTTTAACAGACATTCTACTGAAGCTCCTGCATTTATATGATTTAAAAGTAATACCTTTGAATGACTGGCATAGAGAAAAGTTAGTAATTAAACAGACGTTCAAAATCTGAAGCTCTGTGGACTGGGTTGATGATGCACACCTGTGCATCCAGCTCCCCTGGAGCCTCAATTATGGGGATATCAGTCAGTCCTGGCCAGACTGGCAAAGCCCTGACTCAGAACTAAAAGTAACAAAGGGCACTGGGCGCACAGCTCAGCTCTCGCCCGTTATGTGTAAGGCTCTACCTGCAAACCACGCCCCAAATTACAAAAAGTGACTAACTAGACAGCGCTTTAACTGACTACTAAATAGCATGGATGCCGATTGGGCGCATGCATTTTACTATCCTCACAAAAGGATAGAGCCAGGGCAGCAAGTGGAAGGTCTTTGTGTCTCAAACTAAAATGAGAAAAGATGAAAGTAAAGAGAGATACAAACAAAAAAAGAGAAAATAATTTTACAGAAGGAGAAGCAATGAAGAGGCTGGAAATTGAACCAGCAGCACCACAGCCTGGCAAACGGTCAGAGCAGCACACCTTTTACTGGTTAGGAGAATTGGGGATCTTTTCATTTTTCTCCACTCTTGAGTGACTGAGGCACAGGAGATAAGACCTACCATAAAATATCTAGAGAAGACAGACCTACAGCCTAGTGTAGATCAAAAGCTCTCCCTCCTTCCCCCATCCCTTTACCTTCTTCCCCAACCACAATTTGTCTAAAAAGAAATTATCTTATCAGACTAATCAAAACAGAGAAGAGTTTTTAAGACATCTTAAAAATTTACCCAAATCAGTTCCTCAACTAGAACAGTAAAGAGGCCATAGATAAAACAGCAGCTCACAGGAATGAAAGAAAGTTTTCTAAGCATAATGGTGTCTCATTTACTTTAGGAAAATTGTACTTCAGCATGTGCAGAGAAGGCAGAAAACTCATCAGATTTGATCTAATTTCTCATTTTTAAGAAAACTGAAAAGGTACACACAAATACTGCTTTTTCTGCTAATTTCTGCAAACAACTGTATAATCAGGTGACCACGGATCGTGCAGTCATATTTTCTCATCTCTATGGTGCACAAAAAGACTGTAGTGCTCTATACATCTAGGTATGAGTCCATGGAGCTAAACTATAGTTTCTCACAAACACTTTCGAACCAAATAATTATGGGGAATTGCTCATCGTGCCTGAGTGGATGTCGAACAGACCTGGCCCCCGTACAAGAGCTCTCACACTGATGGTGACGTCCGATTCTTACTTTCTCTCAGGACCTCTTCCCTCCTTTGCAAACTTTTGGAGAAGTTTCCTAGCAGGATAACAGGAGGGGATGAGACACAGCTGCTCCTCCTGAAGCCACGGGCAATGGTAATTCCCCAAGGCTGATGTTTCCTCATCTAAAGCTCATGAAATCCTAGGGGCTTTATTATCAAATGGATAAAATTAAATGCCTTCAATGAAATGAATCTAAATGAGACTCTAATAACCCACCTTTGAACTCACCAGTAAGCTGAACTCCTGGAGTGTACGTCTGCTCAGCCTTCTGGCTCCCTGGGCCTTATTTCACCCATAAGGCTCCCCAGTGCCTTTTGAATACAGCACTTAACCTAGGCCCTACATTAGCTCTGCAAAATTAGCATAGGCAGGACTCACAAGTGATCTGATTTAGCGTGCTTACTTGGGTAGGTAAGGCAGGCTCAGAAACGATACAGACAACAGAAAGACAGCAGGACAGACAGAAAACAGAAGTTAAGTTAGAAAAGTATCTCAGAGCCAGACATGGTGATACACACCTATAATCCCAATACTAGATAAGCTGAGGCAAAATGACTTAGAGACTGAGGCCAGACTGATCTATAATGTTGAGAGCTTGCTTCTGAGAATCAATAATACTTACATAAACTAAAAATGAAAAGAATACAAAAACGAAGTTAGTAAAATATTCTATTTATAGCCATCATGGGAACTTACATCTGTATTCCTGGTACTTGGGAGGAGATAGGACTATAGGGAGTAACAGTACATAGCTTGATCAAAGACAGACTATGTGATACTAAGAGACTCTGTCTTGAAAGGAAAGAGAGAAAGAAAGAAAGAAAGAAAGAGAGAGAGAGAGAGAGAGAGAGAGAGAGAAAGAAAGAAAGAAAGAAAGAAAGAAAAAAGGGAGAAAAAGAAAACTAAGTACTTCCGTTCATAATAAATATGCAACAAAATGAAACAATTGTGAAAAGATTTAACAGAAGTACAAATTTATACCCTAAAAGTTATAACACAGTGTTGAGATGAATTAAAGAATTAAATAAGTGGAAAGAAACTCATAATTACTAATCATAAGTTTAATATTATAAGAGGACAACAATCTCCAAATTATTCAATAGATTCAGTGTAATCCCTATTAAAATCCTCACGAATATTTCTGTGAGAATCCTAAAACATATACTACCATTAACATGAAAGGGATATCTATATAAGATTAGTGATATAATTCAATGATAGAGCATTTGCCTGGCGGCAAACGATTGAGTCTGATCTCCCATATGTACTCCCCACCCTCGTGAGAAGGAAGAGAAGAGAAACTAAGAAATTAGTGGGTTTGCAACAACTGCTGTTTCTAAACTTGTAACAAAGCTAAAGTAGTTAATGAAAGAGAAAATGAAGAAATAAACACTTATATTTAAAATTTATTTATTTCAACAATAATGTCAGATAAATTAATGAAAAACCATCTTTTCAACAAATGGTCCTGGAATAACTGGATATCCACTGTCACAAGAATGAGCTAGCTCCCATTCCTTAGATCTTACACAAAAAGAATCAAAATGGATCACAGACTCAATGTAAAAACTGAAACATTAAACTCTGTGAATAAAGTTGAGGAAAAAATATATGTCATGCTGCGTTAGGCAAAGTTTCCTTTGACATGACAGCAAATAATAAGGCCATATCCAACTCTGCCATTGATGCTTCCGTGAAACTAAAAGGCCACACTTGCTGTCCTCAGGGAAGAGTATTTATTGTCACTTTAATAGAAAAGGTAAAATTAATCATTGCCCAATGTTCTGGATTTCAGTGTGGTTGCATGAAGTGTGTACCTGACTTAGGAAGGTCTAAATGTTCTGGAAACTTCAAACTATTCTGATCATTTAAAATACCATTCTCAAAAAAAATAAATAAATAAAATACCATTCTCCGGGACAACAGAAACACAGAAAACAGCCTGGGCCCAGCCTGGAGAGATCACTCAATGGATGAGAGCACTTTACACACAAGCTTGGAAGCCCAACTTTTATTCGCAGAAGGAAGGAACTGATGCCACANAGATAACAGTCACAAATAAAACTTTAGAAACTACAAAGACATGGAAATCAAATGATGGATTAAAAAAACAAAAGAAGAAAATTTTCAAATGTCTGAAAACCTCATACATATGAAATAATTTATAATACATTGCCATTTCCTACAGCATAGTGATGCAAGTCTGTAATCCCAGTAGTCAGAGCCCAGAAGCAAAAGAATCAGGCGTTCAAGGACTGGTTCTACTACATAGTGAGCTTGAGGCAATTCTGGGCTACTTGGAACTCTGCCTCAAAGAGAAGAGGAAGAGGAAGGGGAAAATGGTCATAAAATAATTAGAAATTTTAGATGTTTAGTGACTGGATATACAATTTAAAAGCACCATGAAGTACAGGACCATGTAAAATGTGAGAAAACCAACTTTGTGCTTGCGTAGAAAGTGAGGGGAGCATTTGCGTGTTATAATCTATTTCAGGATTTGACTCACGACTGTCGAAAACTCACATACCTTGCAATGCAGCACCTTCAGGTTTGGACTCACACAGAAGAGAGCTCTTAGAAGTGCACACCGTTTGACAAGAGAAAAAATATCCCTAGCAGCATTGTCTGTAATGGATGAAACAAAAGAAATCCAAAACTAGACAGAATCTGATTTTGTGTCATCGGTGAATTGAATAAAGTGCAGGATACACATGCATTACATTGTAAGCATAAATGAGCAGCCGTGCTACCCTCATCCTTATGGATGGATCCCGCAAGCATAATGTTGGGCAGAAGCAGTCATCCACAGAACATAGAAAACATAATAGTATGAAACTAACACCCAAATGGGCAAAACTGCAAAATATATTCTTCATGGATACACACTTCACAAATGCAAAAAAAATGTGGAAGTATGCTGTCCACTGCAGGAAACATGCATGTATGTATGTTGTGTGCTTTGTGCATTTTATATGTAAATCTGATCACTGAAAATTTAAAGTTTGTATAAAAAGACCAAACACAAAGTATGTATCATACCGTGTGTGTGTGTGTGTGTGTGTGTGTGTGTGTGTGTGTGCCCTCATGCCTCCAAGGTTGTGAATGCAGGTACTTATATACAGTAGTAAGTGTGTCACGAACATTGGACACACTCAGGCATTGTTAGTTCTTTGCTTTCCATCTTGCTTCAAATAGGGTCTCTTTGCTATTTTTCTGCTTCGAACAC